AATCATTAGAATAATATAATAATGAGTTCAGGAAATGGAATCCTTGATTCCAAAGGCTTTCCAAGTTGTGTCTATAACAGCATTTGAAAGAAAAACGGATAAATACTTTGGGGAAAATTAACAACAACTTGCATTTATATAGCTTCCTTCACGCCAGTCGGAGTCTCGGAACGCTTAAATTAATATAAAAGAGTATTGGGAAAAGCAGGGGAGTAGGATTTGAGTAGAAATCTCCACTGAGGGAGCAACTACCAGCACAGACACACTGGGTTGAATGTTCTCCTCATATACTTGAGTCTTTTAATATAGGAACCAGCTCCGTGTTGCTGCTCCCTCTGGTGTCATGGAAGCATTAAGACAAGGTGCAGTGACTGGCTGTTACACACTTGCCGTCCCAGCTCACTGAAGAAAGATGTTCAACTGTGAAGTTTGGGACGATTATTGTTGAAAGATGTTGCCAGGAGACAGAGTTTGTGAACACGTGCTCACATATTCCAGAGCTTGCTATCCGCCTTGATTGGTAAAGCGCTCCAGGACTCTACCCCACGTGAAGGGCGCTATATAAATTCAAGTTGTTGTTGTGTGCAGCGAGATAATAAAGAGCTACAGCTGTGGGCAGGATGGTGGCAACACTCTCACACATGTTAATATTGAGTTGTGCTGCTCACAAAGAGCTCGACATATCTGCCATCTACCAGCGAGCACTTAAACCTGTACTTGGTGTGTATCAGCCAGGCTCAGTGGTAGCGCTCTCCCCTCTGAGATAGAAGGTTGTGGGTTCAGGCTCCCGATCCGGAGACAGTAACGACAATTTCCATTTATACACCGCCCCTCACACAAGGGTAGCGTCCTGGAGTGCCTGGAACTTGGAATCACATAGTCTAAGCTAACACTCCAACATAGTGCTGGTGAAGTGATGCATTGTCGTAGGTGCCATTCTACGGATGAGACATTAAATCGAGGACCCACCTGCCCGTTAAGGTGGACGTTTAAAGATCCTGTGGTGCTATTTGAAAGAGAGACGAGTTTCTCTCCGTGTCCTGGCCAACAATCCCCCAAATAAAATTGGTTACTCGCTCCATGGCTATTTGCTGTGTACAAAACTGATTTTGTCCACAAAACACACAATCACTTTACTGTATCGCGGGAAACCCTTTGAGATGTCTTAACGTGATGAAGCGCTATATCAAATGTAAAGATCATTATTGGGTACAGCTATACAATACAAATTTACATTCATACATGGTCTTTCATGTTGAGAGGACATCCTAAGGTGCTGGACAGTTGTGACTGGGCATCCTGGCTGGGGGTGGGGGAGCAAAGTGTGCTGGGGAAGGGAAAGATTTCTGAAGGTGTGGTCAAAGAGGTAGGTCTTGAGATGGAGAGGAATTGAATTGTATTATCTAGAGCTAATAACTCTTCTCATTAGGCAGTTGGGGTGGTAAGTGGGATCTCCGTAGAGCTGAGCTGGGTCCAAGATGCAGTGCTTGGCAATGGAATAGTGAAATGTAGTCAGTACTCAGTGGTTACCTGGTCCTGAGCCAGGTGCGTTTGTAGTATTTGTAGCACTGTTGATGACAGATTTGCCATCCTGGCTGTCAGCAGCAGTAGGATGGACAGGCTGAGCACAACGAGAAATGATTCTTTCCACTCAGCTCCTGTTAACCCTGCAGATCTTCCCAGTTACACAGGAAATTTCCATGTATGGTCAACACACACGTGTCGAACCTACAGTCTGGGGCAGATGTATGGTGACAGTCTTGAGCATGGTGAAGGGCTTCCACAAAGTGCAGACCCCCAGCTGACCCAAAAAAAGTTTAGTGTTTCCAATTATTTTCCCCATTGGCAAATGGCATATGTTCTACTCCTGGTCTGGCTTCCTCGTGCTGGGGTCCTGAGCCGGGGCACTGACGTGTCCTCACCTGCTGCCACACGCATATATGTCCAGGAGAGATTGCTGAAGAGGGACCGGGATTAGGAAACCCAACTGATTGTACCATCCCTTGGTCAGGCTGGGGCCAATTTAACCACCCCATTCAGCCCCGGTTGAGAAGCAAACTCAGTACAGACTGGGATTTGAACCAACCCAGTCTCTCAACTGCAGCTTTATCAACTCAGATCTGCCCCAAACAATAGATTTTTTGAGGAATTCATTTATCATAACAATTGGCAGTTGGGCCTTCAGCCTCTCTGGCCCCACCCTTTGGAACTCCATCCCACATTCCCTTTGCCTCGCTCCCTCCCTTGTCTCCTTCAAGGCACATCTCAAGAACCTCCTCTTTGACTGTGCCTTCGTCTACCCTCTTATCCTCCTTGCCTTTCATCCCTCCTGATCCCAACCACCAACTCAGGTCCAAATCCCTAACTATCAAGCACCTTGGGACGTCTTCCCAACATGAAAGGTGCTATACAAATGTAATTTTGTATTGTGTAACAATACCCGGAGCCTAAATGCTTTTCCTAATAATAATCCTTGCATCTGATAATTGCTATTAATATTCCTTATAAGATGGACCAGATGTTGCTCCCAGACAGAGGTTTGGTGGCCTCCTCCTAATGCTCAAAATATCTGTTTCTATGGAAATAGCTTCTCCCATATCAAAACATCTATTGTGATCTCACACTCGTGAAATAATGTGACTCAACATGTGGCAGTGACTGGTGAGACATCAGCCAGTGGTGACATTTGACCGAAACATGCACACAAGATGCTCCGCCAGGAGAGGGCGATCTATGCCTCATGTCTCCCCACCCTGAGGATGAAGGGAGATGAACAGGTGGACCAAAACCACAGGAGTGTGAACTGGGCTGAACTGTACAGGTAGTGTGTGGTACAAGGTCGGGAAGGGGTATGAAGCTCAGGATGAGAATTTTCAAATCAGTCATTGGGGACTTAAGGACTAGCCTGACCTGGCGAGGATAATAATAATAGTAATCCTTGCATTTGATATAACACCTTATCATGTTTTCGAGTCGTCTCAAAGTGGGGGTAAGGTGAGGGGTCCTATAGAGCCTCAGTGCCAAAATACACCAGCTTCATTACAGACGCGCTTCCAGTGTGGAATCTAGTAAAGTCCACATCACAAGACACCAAATACCTCTTTGTCTGTGCTTTGTGTCTTTGCCCTCCCCAGCCCCCTCAGCTCCCATGCCCAGCTCAGATGCCCATCCAATCCAGCATTATAATGCTTTGAGACATTTTCCGGACGTGGATGGTGCTATATATATGTGTTAATTGTATTGAGTCTGAAAACCAATAATTGTACCGATGTATATAGTCCAGGCGGGAATGATTGAATGAACGAATGAAACCATCAGTACAAAGAATGTTTCCCACCCAACAAATACTGCAAGTGCAATCTATTAGAGACTGGTAGGTTAGACAATAAAAGAGACACACACAATCATTCTAGCGAGTACTGTGGTGATCAGTGATTAAAGGCCACATTCATACAAAAAAATTTACAAACACCCATTATCCAAGTGGTTTTCTTATCTGCAATCGGCCTGTCCCAATTAATGCAGATATTGGGCTTTCTCCTGTACCTGAGTTCAGACAGTGCAGTTTAGTATAAGGCATTGAATAGCATCGATTTAGAATTCAATATCCACGCTAATTGGGACTGATCCATTGCGGATATGAAAAAAGTGGATAACTGGTCATCATGCAAAATACATGGGTTACAGTACCCCACTAACTGTGTCCCCCAGTGGATCAGTTTCAAGGTCCTCACTCTCACCTATAATTCCAGCCCTGTGCCTTTTCTTCCATTATCAGTGGCGGAGCCTTCAGTTCTGATGCCCCTAATCTCTGGAACTCCCTCCCTCTCCATCTCACTCCCTCTATTTCAGTCTTGCCTCAACTACTTCTGTGAATGCATCTAAGGCCACTCCCCCTTGCTTGGTGTGCAACCCCATCCCTGTGAAGCCCTCGGAGACATGCTCCTACATGAAAAGGGCTATAAGTGCAAGCTGTTGTTTGTGAGACATTGTCGGAAAACTGGCTGCCATGTTCCTACAAATCAGTCACCATACGTCACAGGAAAATCCTGTGAAGCGCTTTCAGACATCTCGCCAATGTGATAAGGCACTATATTATTAATAATATATGCTTAAAGATTATATATAAGATAACAAACCGCACAAAGGAAGATTGCAATCAGTCAATCCTCTGATCTCTCTCTCTCTCGCTCTCAGATGCGGATTGACCCACTACTTATTTCCAGCATTCTCTGGTTTTCCCCTGAATGACAATTGGGCTGGAGGAAACTGCAAACATCTGCTGTTCCTTGAGCCACCAGTAGGGGGCGACACAACCTGGTACCAAAACAGCAATGGGAAACAATCTTCCGGCAACAGCAGTAACAAGTGGTAAGGGAGGAAAATCTAGAAACAATAATTCCCACCTGTGTAACCGCTACTTGTGCATTAGTTTTATTTGCAGCTCTCTCCCCATGAGGGTCAGTCTGGCATAGGAGGTACCCTCCTCACCTCTGAGTCGGAAGATTGCGGGTTCAAGCCCCACATTAGGACTTTGTGCTAACAGACTAAGCCGACACTCCAATACAGTGTTGGGGTGAGCACTACGTTGACGGAGGAATTTGGGGATGAAGACGTTAAGCTGAGGTCCCAACTGCCTGTTCAGGTGGATGTCAAAGATCCCATCCCATGGCTCTATTTGAAACGCAAAGGGAGTTTCTCCCAGTTTCCTGACCAACAAAATCCCCCAAATAAGATTGGTCACTGACTCCCCCCGTGGCTGTTTGTGGGACGTTGCTGTGTGCAAACCAGCTCTTGCGTTCGCCCACAAAACCCTCACAGTCACTGCGTTTTACACGGAAACTTTGCAAAGTGCTTGGGAGACATTCCTATCATCCCAGACGCTGTATGTAATGTCCCAAGAGACGATCCAGCGAGAAGGACGCAATATAAATGCAAGATGTTGCGAGGATTGTTATTGCTGTTTACAGAGGAGGAGCGAGGCTCCGGGGCAGAGAGTGTTGCCAGGGTAACACGCATTTATTTACATTATTCACATACACGGGACCGGCACTTTATTAAAACTTCCAAGTTAAATAAGAACTAGACCATTAATGCTAAAATAACCGGCGCGCTCTCGCTCCCTTGTCGGACCATCTGCCCAGTCTGGTTCCGCTGGCGGCGAGTTAGATGGTGAGTCTTGTATAAGGTGCACATTAAGAACAAGCGTACGATTCAGCAACCACTTGTGTGGAAGAGCAGAGGAATGATCCACGCACGCTCGCTGCACTCTCTGGCTCCCGTCCCTCCCGTGGAAGTTCCTTTTCCATAAAAAAACAATTTGAAACAATAACAAAGGAAGGAAGCGCAGTCGGTGAATGGAGGCTGACTGGCGGGGTTTGGGGGTGGGGGTGGGAGAGAGGTGGGGTGGGGGTGTCGTGGGAGCCTTCCCCATCCGGTGGGGGTTGCTGCGAGTACCGTCACTAAACAGGAAGCCGTGCACGGGTTGGGGGTGGGGTGGGGAGTGGGGGGGTGTCTCAGCTCGGCTCACCTCGGCTTCACAGGATTTCTGAAACACAAATACAATCAGGAACGTTTATTGGGGCTGGGAGTCGGACATCGCTGTCCCCTTCTCCACTGCCTGCCTCCCCACATACTGCCCCCCTCACCACACTGCCACCCCACACACATTGCCTGCCCCCACACACACTGCTCCCCATCCCCCACACTGTCTGAACCTAGACCCCCCCCCCCCACAACGAGCTCCCTGCTGCTAAATGTTCCAACACAATAAATGAGCTCCAATTTTCCTTAATGAATAATAGTCTTCCTGTCCCAGTCATGCGATTGTATCATTTCTTCCACCCACACTCACCACCAGAACACGTGGGGTAGGTTACTGTCACACATGCTAGCGTGTCACAGAGTTACCAATGGACACCACCCTTTGTGTCACACACGCCTGCCTGTTACCTGCTACATGCTGCGATTGAATTCCTGCCGCTTTCTTAATGAAGGAGTTCTCCTCCTCGAAGGCAATGATGGGAATGGCTGGGCTGGCGAGGGTACCAACCCCTGCAGGCTCCTTCTCCCCGTTACTGTCCAAGCTCTCCGTCTCTGTCTCTGTGTGATTGGGCAACGGCTGGCTGGCCGAGCCTTTGTGGCAAAACCCGTTCTCCTGTTTGCTCAGCTGTACTCCGTTACTGAGGCCAGGCTGCTGCTCACACTCACCGTGCAGTGCTGGTGATCTAAGGAGAAGAATATAGCTCTTATTTTCAGTTGCCCTCACCATCCCCTCCCTCTCCACTCACCCCATGACATCAATTTGATGATTTTGCAGCCCGGAGGAGCAGGATCAACAACAACAACGAATTGCATTTGGCTCCTGTCAGCACGTCCTCCCCTCAGGCGCTGGTTGCACGCTCCACCGTGCTAAGCCAGTCCAGAACCTTGGGGTATTGTTTGACTCTCAACTATCCTTCCCGCTACTCGGCCCCCACCCTCTGGAACTCCATCCCGCAGTCCTTCTCCGTCTCACCCCCTCCCTCGCCACTTTCAAGACCCGTCTCATGACCCTCCTCTTCGACTGTGCTTTCGATCTCCCTGCTTTCCCCCCTGACCTCCCCCTTCCCGGATCCGTAACGCTGTCTGTCCGGCGACTTGGGATATCTTCCCGATGTGAAAGGCGCTATACAAATGTAATTTTGCTATTGTTGTTGCTGTTGCATTTCTACAGCAACATTCATGTCGAGAAGATGTCCCAACAAGAGTTTAAACCTGAGCTGGGGGTTCGGAATCAAGCGTGGGGGCCAAGGCAGGGATGGGGATGGGAAGGTGACACAAGGCGCAGAAAAGAGGAAGGTCTTGAGACGGGCCTTGAAGGACGTAAGGGAGGGGGCAAGGCAAAGGGACTCCAGGATGGGGGGGCGGGGAGGAGACGGGACGGGGACAGAAAGGCTGAAAAGGATCAGTTGATAAGATTCTCCTTTGGTCAGTAAAAGCACCACTGGGCCATTCAGGTCTTTGGATTAATCAACCTGCTAATTCCCGCCCATGCTCGCTCATCAGTGCCGCCCCTCCCTCCATTGGTGTATGTGTGGATGTTACAATAATAATAAATCCTTGCATTTGATATAGCGCCTTATCACACCTTCGAGACGTCTCAAAGCGCTTCACAGAATAAATTGTAAAGTGAATTGACTTGTAATTGTAAAGTATATTTTGTGGGCGAAACGCGGTAGCCAATTGCGCACAGCAGCGTCCTACCAAGTCATGGATTGAAGTGATCAATTTATTATTATTTATTTTTTGAAGAAGCTATTACCCCTGGAAAAACGATCTGCCAATCAACTAATGACCGATTGGCTGCTAGGCTGCTAGGCAAACAGAGGCCCGCGGAGTAAGGAAACTTGTCCAACGCTTCGCCCGACTGGGAATCAAACCCAGGTGTTTTGCTTGCTCTAACCACTGAGCTACAGGACAAGACGAGGTTGCAACGTTACCCTGGCTGCTCCTGTGATGGTAACGGGCCGTCTGTCAAACCAAAGTTCTGACCAGTCTCCTGCTCTCTGGTCACTGCCCGCTCTCCCGGCGTTGTGTCCTGCTCTCTGGACAATTCAGGCTCTCCGGGACACTCTTCCTGCTCTTCGGATGACACTTCCTGTTCTCCGGAAGAAACTTCCTCATCTCTGGGAGTCACTTCCTGCTCTCTGGACACTACAATCTTCACTGCCTCGGGATCAGCTTCTGCAGAAATCACAAGAGCAAGAGTGTGCATGGAATCCATTGGAAATACTGATCCAGTTGTTTACCTACTCTCCAAAACGTTCTCAAAATCTCTACATCTTATGAAAATAATCTTTGCATTCAATATTGGGCCTAAAATTTCAAAAATGCAGAGCTGATTGAGGATTTTGAGAGAGAGAGAGATACTTAGTCAACAGGAATATTATGATAGGGCCAGAGTTACAATTGGATTTAGGCCAATTAGCCTCTTAATAATAATAGCATTTGACAGTGTGCCTATTACATCAATTGACTTGAAATGTTTCACAGGGAATTGCTGGTAAGTGTAGTGTGTTATTTGTAGACAAACACAGAAGCCATTATGTAAACGACCAAGAGTGAATGAACAATCTATCTGGAGGATTGTTGTCCCAGACACCAGTAACCCTCTCTCCCTTTCTTTTCAAATAATGCAATGGGATCTTCAACATCCCTTTGAACAGCCAAATGGGTCCATGTTCAATGTCTCTCCAAAGAATAACACCTCCATCAATGCAACGTTACCCTGGCCAACCAGGACCTCCTGCCTCTTTCCTGGTATTCAAATCCCCTTAACTTAAAACATCTCTTTGATCAACACGCTCACACTCCCCACCCCAGGTTTCTACTTACTGCTAGATAAACAGAGGCGTGTGGAGTAAGGAAACTTGCACAACATTTCACCCTGGACAGGAAATAAACCCAGGTCTCTTGCTTGCAAGGTGAGCGCTCAAACCACTGAACTATAGGACTCCACCATACTGTTGTCAGTTGGGCTACAATTGGCTTCAGTGCCTCTGGGTTAGGTTTAACTGACACAGAAAGAGTGGCCTCAGCCAGAAGACCACTGCCACCCTCCATCAAGGACCCACTCTGGTGCCTCCCTCTCCCCTCCCCGAGGTGCCTTACCCAGTGCCTCTGGTTTGCTGTCGGTGCCGTTTGATTCTTCAACAATGACTTTTTTTTCATCTTTCTGCAGAGAAAATGGAGAGAATACGTAAACCATCCCAAAGCCACACCTCCATTGGAAGCCACACCTCCATTGGAAGCCACACCTCTCACAGAAGCCACACCTCCTCCAAAAGCCACACCTCCCTAAGAAGCCACACCTCCCCCAGAGGCCACACCTCCCGCAGAGGCAGCACCTCCCGCAGAGGCAGCACCTCCTCCAGAGGCCACACCTCCCCCAGAGGCAGCACCTCCTCCAGAGGCCACACCTCCCCCAGAGGCAGCACCTCCTCCAGAGGCCACACCTCCCCAGAGGCCACACCTCCCCCAGAGGCCACACCTCCCCCAGAGGCAGCACCTCCTCCAGAGGCCACACCTCCCCCAGAGGCAGCACCTCCCTCACAAGCCGCAGCTTCCCTGGAATCCATATCACCTCCAGAAACCGCACCTCCCGCAGAAGCCACACCTCTCCCAGAGGCCATACCACACCAGGAAGCCACACCTCCCCCAGAAGCAGCACTTCCCTAAGAAGCCACACCTCCTCACAAAGCCGCACATCCCTAAAAAACCAAACCTCCCCAAGAAGCCACACCTCCCCAAGACGCACCTCACTAAGCCACACCTCCTCACAAAGCCAAACCTCTCCAAGACACACCTCCTCAAGACACACCTCCCCAAGAAGCCACACCTCTCCAAGAAGCCACACCTCCCCAAGACACACCTCCTCCAAAAGCCACACCTCCCTCACAAGTCACACCTCCTCACAAGGCCAAACCTCTCCAAGACACACCTCCACACAAAGCCACACCTCCCCAAGAAGCCACACCTCCTCCAAAAGCAACACATCCCTCACAAGACACACCTCCCCACAAAGCCACACCTCCCCAAGAAGCCACACCTCCTCCAAAAGCAACACATCCCTCACAAGACACACCTCCCCACAAAGCCACACCTCCCCAAGAAGCCACACCTCCTCCAAAAGCAACACATCCCTCACAAGACACACCTCCCCACAAAGCCACACCTCCCCAAGAAGCCACACCTCCTCCAAAAGCAACACATCCCTCACAAGACACACCTCCCCACAAAGCCACACCTCCCCAAGAAGCCACACCTCCTCCAAAAGCAACACATCCCTCACAAGACACACCTCCCCACAAAGCCACACCTCCCCAAGAAGCCACACCTCCTCCAAAAGCAACACATCCCTCACAAGACACACCTCCCCACAAAGCCACACCTCCCCAAGAAGCCACACCTCCTCCAAAAGCAACACATCCCTCACAAGACACACCTCCCCACAAAGCCACACCTCCCCAAGAAGCCACACCTCCTCCAAAAGCAACACATCCCTCACAAGACACACCTCCCCACAAAGCCACACCTCCCCAAGAAGCCACACCTCCTCCAAAAGCAACACATCCCTCACAAGACACACCTCCCCACAAAGCCACACCTCCCCAAGAAGCCACACCTCCTCCAAAAGCAACACCTCACTCACAAGACACACCTCCCCACAAAGCCACACCTCCCCACAAAGCCACACCTCCCCAAGAAGCCACACCTCCTCCAAAAGCAACAACTCACTCACAAGCCGCACCTCCCAACAAAGCCGCACCTCCCAACAAAGCCGCACCTCCCAACAAAGCCGCACCTCCCCAAGAAGGCACACTTCCCCAAGAAGCCACACCTCCCCAAGAAGCCACACCTCCCCAAGAAGCCACACCTCCCCAAGAAGCCACACCTCCCTCACAAGCCGCAGCTTCCCCGGAATCCACATCACCTCCAGAAGCCGTACCTCCCCACAGCGTAACCTCTTCAAAAGCGGTAACCACTCTCAAAATCAGGCCTATTCCCGAGCCCGCGCCCCCTCCCAAGACCAATCCTCCCACCAAAGAAATGTCTCATCCAATACCCACATCTCCTTTGAGGTCCCCTCGGCCTCCAAAGGCCAGTCACCCCACAGTGACACTGACAGTAACACAGCAAGCATGGCCTCAGAGAGCAGAGAGAAAGAAGACTTTCCAATTAGATTCTTTCATCGGCCCATGACATTTCAACAAATCGTCCCCATCAGCCTCACATATTCTCATAACACCAACACCCAGAGGCAACCGTCAGCGCCAATCGACAAGCACATGGTGAACAGAGGCAGTTCCGAGCAACTTGTCTCCTCCGCCTCCCATAATGACACCATGACAGACAAGATTCAGATCAAAGTCCGACGGCCCATTAACCCAGTGCATGGGCACAAGCAACAAATCTCACTGCCTCAAAGCAATGACAGACTGCACAGAGCTCCATAACATCACAGAATGGTGACACAGACTGCGTGCAATAACATGCCACGCTGAGGAACAATGTGAGCAATCCAACTCCAATGATCCTGGACCCTGCCACGTGAACAAGTGACAATTTATATGCTACAACACAAGTAATGGGCTGAGCAGACTGTAGGAATAAACGCATCCCTCAACCTAGAAAAACAACCCAACTGTATTGCTCTGATATTCACTTCTTGCACTCATGACTTTCTGTGCCTCTCAGTGCGCAGGACATTACCTCACGTTGGCTAGTTTCGGATAATGAGTGTTAGGGGCTTTCACAACCAAACCCAACCCTGCCTGAACTCCCTGCCCCACACTCTCTGGGTCCAGCTCCCCCATTACCAGGGTCAACAAAAAATTGCGGAAATATTTGCCAAAAATTTGCGGGGAATTGCCAGGGTGTTGATTGGTGCTATTGAGAGGTACATCTTTACTGCCAACCTACATTTTTTTTACAAGAAATATCACATATTAGATGGTTGCAAAAAATATTATGCTCTTTAACCAAAACTGGGAGGACGGCCGACACGAGGGTGGAGGAGTGGATGGACAGTAGAGTAGGTGACTGGTGATTGTGTCCAGTGTCCTGACTGTGGGGCTCCAGGAGGTCACTACCTCCTGCCTCTCGGATACAGACACAGATAGACACACACACAGAGACACACTCACAGACACACTCACAGACACAGAGAGAGAGACACACACACAGACAGTCACAGACACACACACAGAGAAACACACACTCACAAACACAGAGAGACATACCCACAGACACAGTTAAGAGACACACACACGAATACACACTCACAGACACAGAGACACACACTCACAAACAGACACACGCATACAAAGGCGAGAGACACACAGAGACACACCCACACAGAGGAGAGAGACACACACAGACAATTGAAACAGCAGGGCCTCGGGGTGAGCGAACCCCATTTCCCGCTCTCGCCACATGGCACATGTGCGTCTGGAGACACTTCCCCCACAGTAGTGAGATCGATCGCACAGAGGCTCAGGGCCGAGCACACTGTACTATTACAGGTTGTTAGAGGAGGGGTTGTTTGTAGCGGATTCCACGGAAAAATTGCAGCCACTCATTTCTATTGGCCCAGACCATTACCCCGCAGCGATCAGAATACAGCCTTTCTCATAGAGAGGGCATTTCAAAGCACTTCACGGGATTTACTGTAAGTGTATTCACCGTATTTTGTAAGTGAATTTGCTCACCGCAATATCCCACAAACAGTCATGAAGTTCCCAGGACACCGGGAGAGAGAAACTCCCTTCTCTTTTCGAATAGCGCCATGAGATCTTTAGCATCCTCCGGAATATACATACGGAACCTTGTTTTAACGTCTCATCCGAAAGACAGCACCTCCCACACTGTAGTGCTCTCCCCCAATACTGCACTCAAAGTCCCCAACATGGGGCTTGAACCCACCATCTTCAAACTCAAGAGGTGAGAGTGCTATTAACTGAGCCAGGTTCACACTATCTACATCAGCTGAGCACTGAGTGTTCAGGACTTGGGTTAAAGGGCAGGTGGACAGACTGTTTTCGCTGCCGGTGATTGTACCTTTTCTGGTCCATCTGATCTCCGAGTTCTTTTCATTATCTGCTCCAGACGCTGCAGGGAAGGGCAGAGACACAGAAAAGCATTAACAACAGGGTCTGCGTGATCTAACAGCAACCGACTGTGTGTGTCGCGGTCGCTATTGGAAGCTGGAGCGTATGAAAATCCTGGCCTCGGGGGTACTCAAGACTGCCACCAGTCCTCAACACACCCTGCGATTGAGAGCTCAGTTGTAGAAAGAAAGAACTTGGTATTTTTATGACAATTTATTACATCAGTAAGTGTTGTCCAGTGCAATGGCTTCTTTCTAATCTCTTGGATTGTTGGCCAAGACAAACAGGTAGTTGGGAGATGGGATTAACGTCTCAACAACAACAAATTGCATTTGTATAGCGATATAGCGCTTTTCACGTCAGGAGGACATGATAATGTGGCTGTGGGTTGGGATCTAACAGGGGTGGAGGGTAAAGAGGGGTGGAGGAGGCAAGATGACTAAAGGCACGTTCGACAAAGAAGGTCTGGATTAGTGAGGCAAGGGAGGTGGTGAGGCGGAGGGGCTCTGGAAGGAATTCCAGAGGGAGGGGGCAGAAAGGCTGAAGGCCCAATCGATGATAGTGGAGGGCAGGGGCCGTGGAGCAGCCAGTGCTGCTGAGCGGAGAGAGCGCACAGGTTGGTGAAGGGTCTCATCTGAAGGACCATTGTTCTGCCATTCAGTGCTAACTCATCACTGGGCTATCAGCCTGGACTGTAAAGTGAGTGTCCTGGATTAGACATGCAACCTCCTGCCTCTGAGGTGAGAGCGCTGCTGATTGAGCCAGGCTGACCCAGACTGAGCCAGGCTGACCCAGACTGAGCCAGGCTGACCCAGACTGAGCCAGGCTGACCCACGGCCAATTACCTTCTTCCTCTCCATGCGCTCCTGGTCTTCTCGCTGGAAATGCTTCTCTCGTTCCAGCCGCTGTCTCTCGGCCTCCTCTCGAGCCAGGGCCTCGGCTTCTTCTCTCTGCAGCAGAAACGAAGGTTCGGTGTCTCGCCGAGGCTGTTCTCCACCCCCTCCTCACCCTGCCCCGATTACAGTTACACGGCACGTGCCATATTAATTATTCACTTTCCACTGTCTCTTTTTCTCTTCCCTGTTCCCCGAGCACCATCAGCTCCTCCCTCCCTCTCTCCCTCCCTGAGTGCTGGCAGGGGAGTTGGCCATTGGGACATCAACAACAACAAGTTGCATTTACACAGCGCCTTTCACGTTGGGAGGACATCCCAAGATGCTGGACAATGAAGGGTTTGCACCCAAGCTGCGGGATGGGATCAGAGAGGGGTTGGAGGGCAAGGGGGTGATCATTATCATCACCTTCATCGCCATCATCATCATCATCAAAGCCGAGTCTGCTCTTGGGCTCACCTGATGTCTGTGCAAGTCCCTGCATTGTGGGAGCCCTGACCGATTCCCCTTCCCGAGCATGGAGAGGGATGAACCTGCAGGTCAGGCCAGAGGCTGGGCCGCAGTATGTGAGGAAGAGAGGGTTTAGTGTCCGTGTCTGGCTCTAACCTGTCTCTGTTGCCGCTCCAGTTCCTGCCGCTCGGCCTCTGCCTCCTGCTGTTGCCGTTGCTCTGCCGCCAGCTGCTCCTCTGCCTCCTGCTGCAGCCTCTCAGCCTCGCGCTGCTGAGCCGCCGCCTCCCGCAGCACGCGATCCTCCGCCTTGCGCCGGGCCATCTCCTCCGTCGCCAGCCTGCCCAGAGCACCACAACCATCAGCCACGTACAGGACAAGCACACGGCAGCCAGGCTACAACATGCACTGGCGCTGAGGCTCACACACACGCACGCAAGGTCATACACACACACACACACGTATGTGCAAGGTCACGCATATATAAAAACACACACACAGTGTTACTCACACATATAGTCCAATCTGCACACAAAAGTGTAGACACATGTGCACATATAACGCACAGTGTAAATCACACACACAGACACCCCCACACACTCACAGTGTAACTCACACACACAGACACCCCCCCACACACATAGTGTAACTCCCACACAGTAATGTGCAGTATGTATCAACTCTCAGGCTAAACGCCAGCTTTGGAGATGACTTATCGCGGTGCTGGAACTGTTTGCCCAGTCGCTCCTCACGGCTCCCGGTCCGTACGTACCGTTGCTGCTCCTCCTGCTCTTTCCGCTCCTGTTCCTCCCGGTCCCTCTGCTCCCGGGCCAGCCGCCTTCTCTCAGCCAGGAGCCGCACGGCTTCCTCTGGGTCTGTGGTTCCCGCCATGGATTTAGCAGGAGAGGCACCTACCACGCAGCACAGAACCATGTTACAACAATAACAACAACTTGCATTTATATAGTGCCCCTCGCACATCCCAGAGTCTCCCTTACAGCCCAAACCAGCTCTCTCCACCCAGAGTGCCTGACTGGGGTTACTCTCCACCCGCCAGCTAGGAACAGGAGGAAGCCATTCAGCCCACGCAGCCTGTTCTGTCATCTTATGAGATCAATAGATCTCATTTCCCCATCTGTTTTCCATACCCTTTTTTCCCCCCTCGCTTCCCAACTGTTTTTCCACCTCTCCTTTACACAGCCCAATCCATCCTGCATCCAAGGCTTGGTGGGAAGGTGAGTTCCAAATAATAATAATCCTTCTACTTGATATAACGCCTTATCACGTGGTCGAGACTTCCAAAAGCGCTTCACAGGATATACGGCAAAGTGTAGTGACTGTGCATTTTGTGGGTGAAACGCGGCAACCAATTTGTGCACAGGAATGTCCCAGAAACAGCCATGGAATGAGTGACCAATTTTATCTGGGAGGATTGTTGGCCAGGACGCTGGGAGAGAGAGAGAGAGAGAGAGAGGGAAACTCCCTTCTCTTTTTTGAGCAGCGTCACAGAATCTTTAACATCCACCTGGACAGGCAGACGGGTTGGGACCATTTCCTGACACCCAGTGGGACAGTGTTGCTGACTGTAGCCCCGGCCTATCACTGCTGCCTCTGACACACATGTGAGCAGTTATTGCTGGGAATCCTACCGGCTGTTCGCAGGAAACTACAGGATCACAAGCTCTAAAAGGGATCTACTTTTTTTTTCTCTTGGGCACAGGGAGGGGACTTCCACATGTGTCTGCATGTCTCCACGCACAGCTCCGCATATCTGCCTCTGTGTGGCTTTACATGTATCTCCACTTGTCTCTGAATGTTTCTGCAGTCATGGCTCTGCAGTCTGTGTGAGTGTCTGCGTGTGTCTCTCTGCATGTTTCTGTGTGTCTGTATGTGTGTCTCTGTGTGTTGCACGTCTCTTGTTTGTGTGTATGTATTTCTGGTTGTCTGCATATCTCTGTGTGTCTGTGTGTGTGTCTGCATGGCTCTGTGTGTCTGTGTGTGTCTCTGTATGTTTGCATGTCTGTGTGTCTGCGTGTGTGTGTCTGCATGTCTTTGTGTGTGTGTCTCTGCTTGTCTGCATGTCTCTGTGGGTGTCTGTAATAATAATAATAATCCTTGCATTTGCTATAGCGCTTTTCACGTCGGGAGGACATCCCAAAGCGCTTCACAGAACACACTGTAAAGTGAATTGACTGTATATTTGTGGGCGAACGCAGCAGCCAATTGCGCACAGCAATGTCCCACAAACAGTCGTAGATTGAAAATGACCAATTTATTATTGTTTTTGGTTTTGGAGGGATTATTATTAGGCTCTGTGTGGAGTAAGGAAACTTGCCCAAGGTTTCGCCCTCTGCCTGGAATTGAACTCAGGTCTCTCGCTTGCAAAGCGAGTGCTCTAACCGCTGAGCTACAGGACTCCACAATCCTGTAGGCAGTCCGGGCCCTGGTATGTGGGCAGTGCCTGAGGGTCTCTCACCTTGATTGGTCTCTGGGGTCTCTGCCGTACTCTCGCTGACTTTTTGCTCTTTGTTTCTCAGGCTTCCCCTCGACGACGGCCTGGAGTCCTCCGCAACCTCCTCAACCTTCAGCTCCCTGCGCTTCTTCTCTTTCTTGCTCTTCTCCCCTCGGGCTCGCTGTCTCTTCCCGGCATGGGGGCCACTCGTGGGGGGGGTCTGGGGCGGGGCCCCGGGGCCCGCTGGGGAGGACCTACGCCTTGGGGAGCTCGGAACAGAACGGTTCTTCCCCCACGGGCTGTTCAAACAAGAAACATGTGTATATTACCCACACGCGGAGTAATACACAGAAACACACGAAAAAACACACAAGGCGTTGGAATCAGTAATATGTTATTGCTTCAAATATTTCAGTTACAAATGCTTATGTTTGTTAGCTAACCTGTGGAATGACAGTCTCGATAATAAACTGGTGTTAAAAAGGGATTGCCAGGCATGTCATCTTGCAGCCAGTTCAGCTCCATGGAGATCCCGCTTACCTCCCCGCCCCCCAGGAGGATAGTCGTTAGTTAGCAAAGGGACAATGATGATAAAAGAGGCAGAGCTAAGCTAAGCTCTGGGAACCAAACCCTTGATTCCTGTAATGTTAGAAGTAAGAGAAGAAAAATGATGATTTTTTTCAGTAACAATTGGTCACCGTGATGTTCAGACTCAGGTGGTGAGAGCGAGGGTATGTTTTGCTTCTCTTAAACCACTGGGGTGGGGGACGTGCCCAGCGTACCTGACGTCCAGCGTCGCTGTCTCTCTGCCCCGTGCGTTGGGGACAGACTGTCTCTTTCTCAGGCCTCGTTCGGCCGGGCTGCCTGAGGTCAGGAGCGCGTGCTTCTCCTTGGCGTTCTCCCGCTCCTTGTCCTTCTTTTCCTTTTTCTTTTTCTCCACCTGGGGAACGGAAGCTGGTTTAAACCTCAACACAAACCCACCCTGAGCCAGGGCACTGCTGATGACGGCACAGCCCAGCCTGGCTCATCAGCAGGACTTGGGAGGGCAAACCGGTCACTGGGGGCAAGGAATCCTCCCACTCAGCACCTGTTAACTTTGTAAGCCAAAGCTCCAATGAGTAGAGTGGTCCTAGCTGGACAAGTAGCGGGAAAGCTTGCCAAACAATGCTTTCTCATGGCAAGCTATTCCAGTTTTAATAATAATAATCCTGGCATTTGATATAGGGCCTTATCAGGTCTTTCACACATCTCAAAAGAGCTTCACAGAATCTACTGTAAAGTGAATTGACTATATTTGATGGGCGAAACTTGGCAGCCAATTGCACACAGCTGTGTCCCACAGTCGTGCGATTAAACTATTATCATCTTTTAAGACATATTTTTTTAAAGGGAGTATTTCCCTGGAAATGGTTAGCCTCCAGCAGTTACCCCAACGCACACTCTGGGGTCCCCCAAGCCTTGGCTCTTGCCAACCTGCGCCTAATACTTCCCGGAATTAGGTAAACGGGATGCGTCACTCCGGGGAGGGAGTGCGCATTCCATTCCAACAATCTATCTCTGGGATCTCCACATGTAGATGGGACGCGGGGAATTCTCAGTTTGGTTTGGATACTCTTAAGCAACGGTGATGGGTTCCTCATGTGTCACACACCTGGTTACCAACAGAAGAATCCTCGTTGGCTGCACGGTGACTTACCGGAGGTGACTCTGTCTTGTGGCGGCTGGGGACGATAGGCGAGCTTAGGCTAGCTCTCCAGAGATTGGAGCATCTGTGCCCAGGTTTGTTGCCGGTCTGGGCCGCAACGGGGCTGGCGGAGGCCGAGCGAGGGCAGAGAGGCACCACTGCGAGGACACAGAGCAGGCGGCACAGAGGGTCACACCCAGCGCGGACACAGAGAAATACACACAGGCATCGCGATGAGACGGAGTGCGAGGGAATGAGGGAGACATACACACAGAGTGAGAGAGAGAGCGAGAAGGAAGAGAGGCGGAGAGAAAGAAAGGCAGACAGAAAGAAAGAAAGAAAGAACGTCGTACAGGAGAAAAAGGAGACACGGTGGTTAGTGCAGTGACAATTGTGATCAAGAATCTAGGTCAGTATTGAAGCGGCAGTG